ATTTTTCAAAACAAAATTTCTTTCTTGTTTTCTATTTTTTTTTTATATTTAAAAAATGTTTGATCTAATTATCTAAAATCTAATTTCTCCATTTCCTGATCTAGTCTTATAAAAATTTAAAAAATATTGAACAAATTAAGAAAGGCAGATTCTTAAAAACTAAATTTCAATCTAAATCTTGTTTCTTCTTAAGAAACAAATGTATAGTACAGTTATCAGAAAAGTCTATGGATTTTACCTTTATGCTATTATACAACTACGATAAGAGTGTGTTTGCTTACAGCAGTGCACCCGCGAAACGCAAGTACATTGGCTCAGACCTTAAATTAATGGTGAAATTATGTAAATAATTAAGGGTTTAATTTATTTAAATAACTTTCTTAATAGTATAGAAAACTGATTTTGACTGAGACCGAAATGGTTACCCTATGTAATGCACTTAGGGGCCGTCCATAAACCTTGTGACGCTAATTTTTGGCTTTTTTGAGTGTCAATACTATAATCTTTAATATGAGTACCACACAATATTGATACAACGAAAATTAATACTTTATTTCTCAGCGCAAAATTGTTGATTTCTTCAAACAACATTTTCAATGAGGCTGGCGAATGTTGTATAGTACGCAAAATTAGAGCTAACCAAAGACTGGTCGCCGGATCGCCGGATCGCCAGATGTGTTGGGCGAAAGAGCCGATTGCTGATAAAAAAAAATTCGACTTGCGTAAAAACGCTTTTTGCACATAAAAAATCAATGTCCGAGTTGCGCAAAAAACTGATTTCGGTAAAAAAATTCATCCGAGTTCCGCAAAACCGCTTTTTGCACATAAAAAAATCAATGTCAGAGATGCGCCAAAATCGTTTTTGGGCAATTCGGAAAAATTTGTCGAATTTGTTGCGCAACTCGGCTAGCCCCCGTCGTCGGTTGCAAGCAACGAATTTGTTTTATAAAAGTAAGAAAGAGAGCGAAACTTTGGAATATCCCTTTTCCTTTCCTACACACACGATTCAGCGATTGAGTGAAACGATTCACCAAGTGACAGCCATAACTGCAGGGTGCTTATGCGTTGGTCGCAGGGCACACATATATGCATATGTATGTATGTATGTATATCCTTTAGGCGCCCAATTTGAATATGTAAAATAATGCAAAAAATTAGTAATACCGTGAAAAAAGGTTAAGATATTAAATAAATTAAAGCTTGGGATGCGGTAATAATTTTTGAAAACAATCCATACTATTTTAGCTTAAGCAATGTTTAACAGTGTGATATATAGAACTAGTTTCTGCCGCTGACGTTTTGTACATAATATGATCGCGATCACACTCAGGTGTGGAAGTACCTGGTGCCTTGAACTAGCTAGTTATGTTTCTTATAGCGCGAGAACTCGTGATTTTCGAGTGACTACTTGTTTTTGAATGCTTCACCTCGTCGTTTAATCCGCCATGAGAAAAAGTGAACTCTTTCTTATACAATTTACAGTAAACTGATCCGACGTCACATCACACAACCAATAATAATCACTCTGCCAACTTGTACTATTTCTTTACTATGAACAAAAACACGTAAACACTTAAACTTTTGTAAGCTTAATGAAATGAAACTAAAGTACGCAATGCAACACTACAATACTAGCTCACTGCTTCCTAAGCACTAAAACAAAAATAAAATAACGAACTTTCGCAGATAATCATACCTTTTTTTAAAGAAATTTATAAGCAAATAACGTATATAACGTCTAGAGTTGTTACCAAAAAGGTTTATTTTTGATTCGTCGCTCCATAACACATTGTTCCATTTTTTAGAACCTTCTGGTCCAGACCATGCCAAATAATTTTGTGCAAACTGGCGCCTTATCTGTAAATTTTTTTTCCGAAGTAAAGAAACTTTTCTGGCTATATGTCCTGGTAGGCCGGCACTTTTAAGTCTGCGCCGAACCGTTCGAGATGATATTTCATTGTCGATTTCAGCGGCAATGGACTTGGAAGACATAAAGGGATCCTTTTTTGCCAGACTGACGATGCGGGTGTCCGTCGTTTGGGAAGATTTCTTCTTCCTTCCTCGTTATTCGGTAGGTTCTTTCGATTTTAAAGCATTCTGAACAAAACACACCGAGCGTCCAAGGCTTGTCGCAATTTCTCGTAGACTTTTTCCTTCTTGTTGAAGATTCAAGGCAATCTTCTTTTCTTCCAGGGTTCAATGCTTTTTTCGGCCCATCTCAAGAATTTTTTGTAACCCGAATGTACTTAAAATACAAGAAATCATTAAAAATCAACATAGTCCAATTCTAAACTTAATCCTTTCAAATTTGTGAATAATGGAAGTGTGCTTATTATTTTGACCAGACCAAAAAAGACTATCCAGAAAAAAATTCAGGCTTAGCACTGGATAAATGGGGTACCCCATTTTCATGGGTTAATAGGTTAACGAGACGTTGCTGCCAGCGCTTTTGCGGAAGATGAGCGCCGAGAGAGATGACCTGGTTCTCGTAAAAGCCCTGCAAGCAGCGTTGCCAGTTTAGCTTGTTTATAAGCTAGATTTTGAATAAAATAAGCTAGAATAAGCTAAAATTTTCCAGTTTTAAATGCTATTTTGATGTTATGTTATGTTAAATCTGCGGTTATACACTTTGAAGCTGGAAAATTTTAGGTTATTCTAGCTTATTTTATTAAAAATCTAGCTTATAAACAAGCTAAACTGGCAACGCTGCCTGCAAGCCTTTGGAAGATAAATGTGTATCCCCTATTGCCTAGAAGTCACTTCTTAGTCACTTAGATAGAAAGACGATAGCACACATTTTACAACAACAAATATACAAAAGAAACTATCGCCCAACTCACTTCTGGAAGTGTCGCGGAAGACTCTTCTGGGGGGTGACGCAGAAGTGTTAGAGTTTTTCCCGACGGACGTCACTTCCGCGATCCGAAAGCGATATCGCGGACGATAGTTTTGTCTTCTAGAAGCGACTTAGAAGTGTCTTCGGCGATAGTAGAGGCTTGCAGGCAGTGTTGCCAACTCTGAGTGGTCATTCATAGCAGTGAAGGCAAAAACAAAAAACACCGGAAGCACTCCGGGAGTGCCGGCGGAAGTGAAAAGTTCAATATTAACGTTGTGTTTAATTATAAGTATAAAAGTACTACCATTTATGAGGAAGAATACAATGTTTATTTATTGCGGTATCGTACACAAATATGACAACTTATATGTTGTTATTTATAATATTATATCGTTATTTATATATTACATTAAATTTTATCTCTCAGAAAAATCAACTTCCATCCAAAATTTCGACGACTTTTACACCATCGTTATTATCAGAATCATCATAGCAAATTTTTACAACTGATACAATTGGTTTATGACATTTGCAAATCATCCAATTTCTTTTGGAACAATTCTTCTACATTTTTCTTTAAACCTTTTGTACGTTGATAATATACCCTTTGATTCTCACGATGTCTTTTTCTTTTTCGTGCTTCTTTTATTTCCTTCGAATCTTTTTGCTCCAAATTTTTTTTACGCTGACGAAATGCCCTTTGGTATTCTCGATTTCGTTCTTTTTTTCTTTCTCTGAAAAATGGAGATTATTTATTATTATCTTATTTCATTTATTTTTATTCGAAATTATTTTTTTGGTAAACCTACTCCGCAAATGGGCTTATTGTGGTGTCATGAAAATGTAGGTTAATGCTATAAAGTATAAACATATTACAAATGTTACATCTATTATGTGTCAATACAGACTAGATCGAAACCTAATCTTATTATTAAAATTATATTTATTACTATTATTATTATTCGTTTTTTTACGTTTTATAGTTCTCAGCTTATAGCTAGTTTTCTTGACGGCAGTTACGGGCTAAAGCCAAGTAAGAGTTTTTCATCTAGCTATTTATAAAGTACTAACTTATTTTCTTTCACTACTTCATCATCTCGTTTTTCATTAATAGATTCACTTTGTTCGATTTCCATAATTTAAACAATTCACATTTACGAATACACAACAGTGTATTTACTACACAACAGTCAAACAATCAGCTGTCACCATCCTTGGATACGCGTGGGACGCTGTACATAAACACACATGGTCGTTCGCGCAAGCGCCCTGTGCCGCCTAAACAGAGTAGCACACTCAGGCATGGTAGAAAGAGTGGGAGATACTAGTTCCTCTCCCTTCCCCTCGATCTTAAGCTTTTTTGATCAGCATCACGTAACCCTGACGCGAGTTTGAAAGTTTTTACCCCTCCAAAAAAAGTGCTCAGCGCCGCTAAAAAAGTTTTCACTTCAAAAATCTTATATTTTTGTACATTCAGTGTTGATTATTTAATGATTCTCCTTCGTTAAGCAAATTGCTTAAAATTTGCCCAATTTTTACCTCCTCGGAAATCAAATACTTTCCCATTGTACCAATCAGTGAAAGGCACTTATGGGGGATGTCGTACTGAAAACAGCTTTTTTTTTTTAGTTTCAACGTGCGATTTCAAATCTCACAACTTTGCAGGGGGAGAGCATGTTCGCCACCGTCGATGTTGTAGGGCAAAAATATCTAAAGAAATCGAAAATATAAAACATTGCTTTTAGAGAGGATATATCATTTCCCAATGTCCCTGTCCTAGAACGTTTTACAACTGTTTGAATCTGTGCGTCCATTTCGTAATTTCATAAAGCATGTAAGTTTTTTTTTTTATAAGTGCGGTTTGTGCAAAGCTATGATTTTATCGCCTTTTTACAGTCCTAAGAAGTTAGATCTACAGTCAGCAGAAGCTAAAGTAACATATGAAAATAGCTGGAAACCGGCAGAAAATTTGGATGATAACTAAAATATAAAGCTACGTTAGTAAAACGATATTTTTATAAATTTAATTTATTTATTAAGTATTTTTAAGTAGTTCGTAAATTCCGTCAGTCATGCTCTATTCTGCTTGTGAATTTTCGTAGGTCTGATTGGTTCCAATCTTTTTTAGGCAATCTGCTGGATCTTCATAGTTATGACAACATTTACCCGGCGTATTCCGTATCTACAAATATGATATTTAATGCTATTAATACTATAAAATACCTTATATGTAAAATTAAGTTTAATGCTTTCTATTTCACAGCTTAGTTTTTACGTTGTTCATTTGGGTGAACACTCATTCCACCTCTGCGCAAATGATCAAATAATATTACAAATCATATGATCGTACCTAATTACTCTAATTACCATTCCTGTTCTGCTCTTTCAAAGCCTTCTCCATTTCTAAGCGTCGCCAACACCAATAAGAATCAAATCACACGAGAATTTATAATAATTTTATTGATAAGTTGATTTTATTTAATTGATAAGAATTTTTGATGCGCTTACCAAATACCAGCCAAGAAGTGGTGAGTAAAAAGGAAATATCGAACATCGATGTTTGAAAACTTCGATCACTCGTTGCCTTAATTTAGTAGCACGAGGACGTTAATCACGTTGCTCGGAATTCTCATTTGCACGTGAGTTTGTCATTTGTTCACTTACGTTGGCATTGATTGCCACGTGTTCTTCTACTGTTTGATTTAATGGACGGTCACGGAGCAGTTGCGTATTATGAGTACGTCGCCCAATATTTTTTTCTCCTTTGCGAAAACGTGGCTCTTTTTTAAATACCATGCTATGAAAAATAAGCGACAGCTAACGTAGCTGATTCTGAAAGTGAATATTTAGAGTACATATTTGAGATAAATAATAAACGATTTGATGTCTTAATTAAATAGAATACCTATCTCTATATATATATACTAGCTGCCCGTCCCAGCTTCGCCCGGGTTTTTTTAACCTTTCCACCAGAACAGCTCATACCTGGGGTTTCTTCTTTCCATTTCAGTGATTCACAATATCTGCATTTTTTATCCATTCTTCCAAAGATAACCAATCGGTGATTAACATTGTCGATCAAAAGGTCATACTCAAAAGAGGTACCATTAAATGCCTCCCACGTTCTCATTGAAAATGTACGTGTTCTTTCTGCCTGCCGTTCAGCATTTAAAAGACGTCGTCTTTGTGAATCTTCGTAAGTCTCTGCCGAAATCAATTGCGCGTGACGTTCAGCATCTAAAACTCGACGTGTCTGAGTCTGTTCCACTGTCTCAGCAGCTCTTTGAGATGCGTTGCGTTCAGCATCCAGGGTCTGACGGGCCCGAGTCTGCGTATAAGTCTCAGAAGCTCTTTGAGTCGCATGTTATAGACCGAAACAAAACACGTCGGGAGCGAAAAAATGTACGCCAAGATTTGCAGTGTTATTCCCATTAAACCTCTATGGGCTATTTACATTGACGGTCGAAAAGACAACATCTTAGTGATGACGACCACAGACATTGGCAATGCATCGCAAGACTGTTATAGGAGAACACATCTCAATATTATCAGAGCTAGAAATACTTTTGTTCGTTTTTTGTATAAGCATTAATGTTACTAATTATTAATTAATTACTAATGAATGTATTATGTTAAGTTTTTAATTTTATAGATGCTATTTCTGAAGGGGCGTGTTGGAATACCCCTATTCCTATACAGAAATACCATTTAGTATATATACTTTTAAGGCTTTAATGAAAACGAAGCTTTTGGTCACACTGACCGATTTTCTTCCCTTTTATTGTGACATTGTCGTTGAGATTAGTTGGGGTGCTGGTGTTGCGGTATAAGTAAAGGAAGCATAAAACATAACTACTCTTCTGTAATTATTGAGATTATAAATCAATTAAAACGACAATATATATATAAATGTGGGATTTGAATCAGGCGGGCTTCCTCGACGGCACACTCTAAGCGGGTTGAGCTATATTATTATTATTAGGTGGCACTACAACCCGATTCGGGTTTTGGCCGACCTCAGCGTCTCCCTCCAGGCGCCTCTGCTCCTCGCGCGCCTCCTCCAATCGGAAATTCCCAGTGCAGTTAGGTTCTCCTCCACTTGGTCCTTCCATCGGAGCTTTGGTCGTCCTCTTCGTCGTCGCCCGTAGTCGGCTGTAGTCAGGCTGATTCCCCGGTAGTTGGCGCATATCGTCGGGTCACCTTTCTTCAGTACAGGACAAAGGACGCTGAGATTCCAATCGTTGGGCATGCTTTCTTCTAGCCATATTTTGCACAAGAGCTGATGCATGCACCTTATCAGCTCTTCGCCGCCGGCCTTCAACAACTCTGCAGGCAGTCCATCAGCACCAGCTGCTTTGTTGTTTTTGAGCCGCGTTATAGCAACTCGGACCTCGTCATGGCTAGGTAGTGGTATATCCACATTGTCGTCGATTGGTGGTATCGGGCTGCTTCCTCCAATGGCGGGATTGGTGCCGTCATCGCCTGCTAGCAGCTTGGAGAAATGCTGCCTCCAAAACGTATTTAATGAAATCCCAAATAATTGTAATATAGCTATTGACTAGGTCTGCAATGTGTGGAAACTTTTTTAAAAAAGCTTGAAGATTCAATGCTTTTTCAAGAATATACAATAAAATTTTGATGATGATTCCTAAAAAGGTTTTAAGTTAGTTAAATATAATTTTATAAAATTCAATTTTGTGTACGATATATTGTACAGAGGAAGGGAGTTTTGTAATTACCTGCGTTTTTCCAATTGCCTACGCGTTGCACAGAATATTCCATCATTGGGTCACCGGGAACGCCGCTCACCTGAAAGGGAGGCAAAGGGAGATTATGAGGATAAGCATAGTCCTGACAACCATTATGTACGACCACGGACCAGTGCAGGTCCCGATCCCTGGATAACAGGCTTCACAAAGTCCATCTCCTCCAAATACGGCCAATGGCTGTGGCTTTTCTTGAGTTTAAGGCGGTAGCACATCCGGAGATCCTTCCATTTTCGCCTGCACTTACTTATTGGGACTTGCATCAATGTCGCTATTTTGGTCCATGCCTGTTTGGACTGATAAGGCCGATCGGGAGTATCGGGGTTCCATATCGCTGGGTGGGCGGCGACCTTCCGAATGAAGTGCCGCGTGTTAACTTCATTCCATGACCACTCCATTTTACTCCTCTGGAAAAACAAAAAGGTTTGGGTTTGGGTTTGAGTGCTGCGCGAAAGTCCATACAGTTTTTTACATTTTTTTACCTTGGTAAATTTAACAAAACTTAACAAATTTTGAAAAATCGGGGGAAAGTTTTTGTATTCGGAGTGTTTTGTATTGTTCTAAATTTGATGTGAATAGCATTGACTGCCAATGCAAAGTGCCTTTACTGAGCTTAGTTTTTTCCCAGTACATTTATGTTAAGATTGCTGTGGCTACTGTGTTGACAAAAAAATTAGGAATTTAAAAAAGGGTGGGAAAAACAAACACGTTGATTTATTACTCATATCCTAATAAGAGCAGAAGATTATTTTATTATTCAAATACATAATACAATACGATACAATAATTTAACGGATCGGGACTCTGGACATAACTCGTGCGCGCAAATTATGCTTAGATTGAAAAACCTAGCTTTGACGCGGATTGTAGCCAGTCGTTTACTCACTGGGGTGAAGTTGGAGACGTGGTGGCGAAGTCTCCGACTTACTACAAATCCGCATCCAAATTCGCGCCTCTCCGCATGGCTGCTGTAGTAGATATCGCAGTTTGCTCGCTTAGAGCATCCTTGTCCTGTCCATCTCATTTCCTGGATGGCGGTAATGTCAGCCTGTAATTTTTAGCGGCATCCGCCAGTTGGATAGAGGCACCTTCCCAATTAAGGGTTCGGACATTCCAGGTGCATATCCTCAAATCGTAGTCCTTTTTCGTTTTGCGGTGGTCGTCAACATAAGGGGGGATCCTATCCGAGGCTTTCGCTTTGGTCTTCACTGGGCTTCTTTTTTTACGAGGCGGGTTCCAAACCCTGCGCTCAACCGTTTAACGTCCGGGTGACGTCGCTGCACACATTAGCTCACTATCTAGCGGATGCTAAGATAGCTACCCAGGAGGTGCCACGAGGAGGCCACGAGGAGGCTCATTCGAAAACAGAGATCGCACTGGCGGCCACCAAGTTGACCGCGATCAGAAAACTTTACTCTGTACGAATGAAAGCCATCCCATCCCATATGAGCTATATGGCAACTCTGAATTAGATATACATATAATCGATAGATTTAAGATCACCGATTCCTGTGGAATGAAGCGGAGTCCTCGTTGAGCATTGAAAGAGAAAACATCACTAGTTCTGTTAAAAGTTAATCTAAGCACTTTATTTTAAAATCAAAATCAATAAATTAATTGTATGCGAATAATAATAATCCTACATAAATAATGGAAAAAAATTATAACGTCTTGTTTTTAATTCCACGAACATCAATATATGGTTTTTTATAAGCCGAGAATCGAGAAACAAATTTCATTGAAATCCGACAACGTTATCATATAGCTGCCATAGGAAAGATCGAAAAAGCTGTATAGAAATAACGGAAATAAAATAATAACACCTTTTTTTCATCAGACAAACATTATTTTTGTAATATAGAGTTTTCTAACAACTCTTGAATTACGAATCAAATTTTATCAAAATCGAACAACTAAATCATATAGCTGCCATATAAACAACTAGCTGCCCGTCCCAGCTTCGCCCGGGTTTTTTTTAACCTTTCCACCAGAACAGCACATACCTGGAGTTTCTTCTTTCCATTTCAGTGATTCACAATATCTGCATTTTTTATCCATTCTTCCAAAGATAACCAAAGTCTCAGCAGCTCTTTGAGATGCGTGGCGTTCAGCATCCAGGGTGTGACGGGCTCGAGTCTAGAGCTGGCAAAACATCGATAGTGACCCTATCGATGTTTTCGAGGTTTTTTTCGGGAACCATCGATACTATCGTAATAATATCGAATTAAACAAATTTTGAAATATAGAGTTTATTCTTTATGAAAAACCCAAACCAGCCGGGGTATTCCTTATAAATTCGATTTTAATAAATTTAGAATTTTAGTTTTTTGTGTTATATATATTTTTCCATTTAATTCACTTCATTTGTCAAACTTAATATTTTAAAAGTAAAATAAAAATAAAAAGAATATCCAAAAACAAAAAAACGTTGCTTCGTTAGTAGCGGTCCAGCCGCTAGACTTGAGATCTATCTTATATATTAGATTCGGTATTCCACCAATTTTTATTGATGAACAGGAGCTGGTACACTATGTTTGACTTTAGTGATGACCTGCGCTCGGAAATTATTTGGCCTGCCTTCGAAAACATCCTCCCATACCATCCTCCTTTTCCATGTGCGCTTTCTTGCTGTGCTAGGTCCAGTTAAATCCTCGCTGATGTTGCTGGGCTGATTTTCCTTCTCCATGTCTAAAGCACGTGCAAAGAAATTGAAGAAAAATATGTAAAAGCTTTTATATACTTTTAACATCCTACTTACTGCTTAAAGTGTTCCAGACAGGCACCACTGTAGAACGACCAGTCACTGTCTACTGTCTAAAGAAAAGAAAGGCTTATTATAAATTTAATATTACAATTATAAAATTGTTTCTTACCGCTTAGCTGCGAAAACACAAGAAAAATAGTGGTGGAATGCGACGGCGATACTATCGTGATAGTTTTCAAACCATCGATAGTGCAAGCTGGCTCCTTAACATCGATACTATCGATGGTACCATCGATGGTTTGCCAGCTCTACCCGAGTCTGCGCATAGGCCTCAGAAGCTCTTTGAGTCGCATGACGCTGAGAATCTAACATCTGACGCGTCTGAGTCTGCTCTTCAGATTCTTGTCTTCTAGCACCTTTGCAGCTCGCGATCTGCTAGAACTACTACTTATATTGGATTTACGTTTGCGTGGCATATTGAAAACAATAATTAAAGATTTTAAAAACGGGAGTTTTAAAAACTACAACGTAAGACAATTTTTTATAAAAACTTTGATAAACCTTTTTACTTAAAACCTAATGCCTACTGCCTACCCCATAAGAACGATTGCGTGATTATTCCGTTTCTCCACCTGCTGCCTACCACCTAAGAACGATGGCGTGATTATTTATAGCCTATTTTCATTTCTAGGTTATCATCTATCACCATACCAAATTTCATCAAAATTCGTTCAGCCGTTTAGGCGTGAAAGAGTAACAGACAGACAGAAACATTTTCGCATTTATAACATTAGGTATGGAAGTCTTCATTGAACTCTTCCTAAACGGCTGGACCGATTTTTATGAAATTGTTTGTGTGTATTCCAGGGGGGTTTGAGGATGGTTTGGTCTATCTATCTTTTAGTTTTTTACATGTAGTTGATATTTACTAAAGGGGAGATCAAGGGGGTGGTGCCTTTTAAGACGTCGGCGATGTTTACCAGTCTCACCTGATACTTCAAAGCGTATCTTTTAATTTCTTCGGTTACACTTGGAATCTCAAGGTCCTTGTGGATGACCTGGTTACTCACATAGAAAGGTGCTTTAGGCTAGTCTTCGTAGAGTAATGCTTTGGAATTGTTGCAGTTCTTTGATGTTAGAAGTTGAGGCTGTGCCCCAAAGCTGAATCCCGTACGTCCATATGAGTTTGAGTATCACTTTGTACAACAGGACTTTTCAAAGGCTCAGTTGGGATCTGCAGCCCAGCAGCCACTTCATTTGCTGAAGTTTCAGACTCAGCTGATTTCTTTTGATTTTTATGTGTTCTGCCCAGGTTAGTCTTCTGTCAAGTGTTACCGAGATGTTTGACTTTTTTAACTACAGGCAGTATGGTGCCTTTCAGTCGGACCTCTGGGCAGCTTTTAGGGTAATTTGCGAATGTTATGTGCACTGATTTGCTTTCGTTGACAACGACGTTCCATCTTAGCAGCCACGGATCCAGTTTTGTGAATTGTAGTTGCAGGATTGGTGATGCTTCTACATGATCTGTTGATGTGGCTAAAAATTCTGAGTCGTCGGCGTATGCTGCAATAACGTGATCATCTCTTTCAAGCACTGGAATGTCTGCAGTGAAAAGGGGTTTAAAAAATAGGGCCTAACACGCTTCCCTGGGGTACACCTGCTTTTACTTCAAAGATTTCAGGCTGATCCCATTCGCGTCTTACAAAGAATAGGCGCCTATGTAAGTAGGATTTCAGCAGCAGGAAGAGTGGAGCTGGTAGCATGAACTTGAGCTTGTAAAGCAAGCCTAAATGCTGGACACGATCGAACGCATGTTTAACGTCTAGAAACGCTGGGGAACAATGCTGAGACTCTGTGGCATTGCTTCTTTCGAATATTTTGGACAGTATTGCCAGTAAGCTGATAGGACGGTAGGAGGCAGAATCCTGTTCGGGCTTCCGAAGTTTTGGTATCATTATGACCTCCGCACACTTCCATTGTGGGGAAAATGATGGTGCCTAATGATACCATTGCAGATGACCGTAAGAAAGGCAATTGCACGCAGAGGTATACAATTTATAGTTGATGCATCGATAGCACCGTAACCGGGACTTTTAGTTATATTTAAGGGGGGGTAAGGTTTTAAAGGTCAAAAAAAAGGGCCATGTTTGATTTTTAATTGCGGCGAAATGAGTAAGTTTATTTTATAGAGCTTAATTACATGTTATTGTTTAACTTTTGAAGAGTATTAGAAAAAAATTTTTTAAAAATATTAAGAAATAAGCCTGTGGCGGTTAATCTTCCGAAGCGCCTAAAGAAAAAGTTGTTTTGCGGTGAACATCATAGGGCGTTGACGTATCATTTTAAAAATAAAATGTTATATGCGTTGTAAAGATAATGAATTTCCCGAGGTAATCAGGAAGAGTTTTTTTAAAATTTATTTTTTGTCTATTTTTGGGAGCACTTGAAAGTGAAAAGTGCGATTTTAGCTTTTAAAATCGCAGTTAATTTATTTTTAAAAAATAGAAAAAAATTAAATATTAAAAAAACTCTTACTGATTACCTGCGTATTTATGTTGAGAATTTGTGTTAAAAATTTGAAAAGGATCGGTTCAGTAGATTTTGAGTTCTGATGTTCACCGACTTTCAAAATAGCGTCTTCGGCAAAATCGATTCAAAGTATTTTTATACGTGAAAATACGTCCAAATACGGTTGTTTAAAACGCTGTAACTCCGTTAGTTTGACTTTAATTGACTCAAAATTTGTACACAATGTTCTCGACATATTGGTCATTCAGACAAAAAATACAAAAAAAAAATGTAAAACCAAAAAATTTTTAAAACCTTAAAACCTTGTCGAAGGTATTTGGCTAGAGCTTCATTGCGCAGTTCATAAGGGGGGTTTTGAAGTCTTTGCTTGCACGGTTAAGAGCAGCCTTGTCTCAGTTGGAGTGTCGATCGACATAACGGCTGCTTGAAACCAATGCCCACATCTCGGCAATCAAAGCCAAATTCCTGCAGAAGCTACCAAAGTAGTTTTTTAGCATGCCCACCTGCTTTATTAGCGTAGTTGAAGGTTTCTTTATTGTTTTGTGGGTTAGTATTTGTATATGTCATGCTTGAAGGAGCAGGCCGATTATCGTAATTACGTCCTGTTTGCATAGGTTTTCCCTGTTCTCGCATTTGTACAGCAGCTTTGAAAATCCTGCAACCTCTGCAGGATGGTATGGCTGTCTCCACAGTGGACGCATATAGCTGGGTCTTTGCGAGGTTTGGTGCAGTCAGAGGTTTTGTGGTTGTTACCGCATTTAACGCAACGCACAGTGGGCTATTTGATCTCGCCAGCGGCATTTAATTCAAGTTTAAAAAAGCGTTGAATCTTCAAGGTTACATACCATACAAACAATCAATGTTTGTGACCGGTCTATACATGTGTAGCTCATAAATCGTAGTGTAATCCAGTGCATTAACAACGAGCCCGGATTAGCGTACACCTTTCTTTCGTGGAGTCGAACTTACCGGATTCAAGTGGATTCAGTCTAACTCTTTTATTAGCCGAAAGTGTGAATCAGTGGCGTCCAAAACGTGTAATATGAACAGGACTAACAGAGTTATGTTCTTAAAAACGTAAAAATATGTATGGATTTATGGACGAAAAAATAGAGCAATATGGACGAAAAAGTTGACAAATATGGAATAAAATGGATAAATATGGTATAGACGAAAAAAGGGATAAATATAGGTATAACAAGAAGGGAAGCTAGCTTCGGCAAGCCGAAGCTTATATACCCTTGCAGTTACTAAATATGTCGAACAAAATACATAAAACCTAAAAAGCATCGAAGCTAGACGATTTTTCTATTAATTTTCCATATTGTTCATATGACAGCTATATGATATAGTCGTCCGATTTTAATGAAATTTTATTTGTAACTCAAGACTCATTAGAAAACTCTATATTCCAAAAATCATTATTGTCTGATGAAAAACAACGAGGTTATAATTATATTTCCGTTATTTCTATATAGATTTTTCGATCTTTCCTATGGCAGCTGTATGATATAGTACTCCGATTTTTATGAAATTTTTTTCTCAACTTAAGAGTATTTAAAAAACTTTATGTTCCAAAAATCATGCTCGTGGCATTAAAAACAACGACATTATAATTTTTTTCCATTATTTATATATATATATTTTGATCTCTCCTATGGCAGCTATATGATAGAGTTATCCGATTTTGATAAAATTTAATCCGAAATTCAAAAGCAGTTAGAAAACGCCATCTGGAAGGAATCAAGTCGATCTGATCAAAAATAACAATAACGGTGTACAAATTTTTTATTTCATTCTCTTGTATGGGAGCTATCCGATATAGTCGCCCGATCCGGCTCGTTCCGACCTATATACTGCGTGCAACAACTACACAACTTTTGGGAAAGTTTCAGCGAGATAGCTTTAAAACTGAGAGACTAGTTTATATAGAAACCGACAGGAGGACAGACAGACAGACGGACAGACGTACATACGTATTTCGATTCAGATGGTGATGCTGATCAAGAATATATATACTTTATGGGGTCTGAGCACGGTTGCCAGATTTGGCTCTTTTGAGCCAAAACTGGCTCTTTTGAGCCAAAACTGGCTCTTTTTTTTCTCTTTGGCTCTTTGGCCCATTTTTATTGAATTTGGTTCTTTTTTGCTAATAGCGATACAAAATATTTTAAATTTAAAAAAAAACGAATTCATTTTTTTATTAATGCATTTTTTTGTTGTGCAATTATAAAAGTGATTAATGTCTGAAATCTAAAAGCGCCAGATCGAAACTAAATTGTTCCGCTGGTATGGTAGCTCTGAACATAAGTCAGAATGACTTAAATTACCAAGTAATCCTTAGTTTCATTGCAGAAAAATGTGTTGTGATGTTTTTGTTTATTTTTTGTATAAGACTTTTTTATGATAAAAGTTAAAAAAAAATAATAAATAAAAATTGGGCTCTTTTTTATTCAAATTGGCTCATTTTTAATCTTTTTTTGGCTCATTAAAAATTTTTGAAGTGGCAACCGTGGGTCTGAGGTGTCTCCTTCACTGCGTTGCAAACTTCTGACTGAAATTATAATACCCTTTGCTCTGCAATTATACCCTTGCACATTGGGATAAAATGCCTTAATTTTGGCCAAAACCTAAAAAATTCGTGTTAATATATCAATTTTGCTACAATTATTTTAAGCTAAGAAAAGTACCTAGACATCAAAAATATTTAATTGGTATTTTATTGTGCAGCCCTTGTCTTCCACCAGCCCTTGAAAGTGAGCTGTTCTTAACACGTAGTGGGTGCAAGCTTGCTGATTATGCAAGTTTCTTAACTTTGACGCTCTCGTATTTTTAAACAGTTTGACCAATTTAAATACCTTAAAATGGAAAATGTTGCACATGGTATGTAGAAAATATCTGTATAAGTGTTTAATTATATGTGCTTTTGTTTTGTCATGTTTTTAATGAAATACGTAAACACTAGTTTTGTTGATTTTAACCTTAAAATATTTGTGTTT